TTCATGTTCAGTCCCTATGGTCGGTGAGATGCATCCGTGCTTTTGGGTGTGGCTATAGTTCATTCATCTTCATCCCATGTCATGTTGGTGAGATGTATCCATGCTTTTGGGTGTGGCTACAGTTCATTCATCTTCATGCCATATGGTGTTGGTGAGGTACATCAGTGCTTTTGGGTGTGTCTACAATTCATTCATCTTCAGTTCCTATGGTCGGTGAGATGCATCCGTGCTTTTGGGTGTGGCTATAGTTCATTCGTCTTCATCCCATGTTGTGTTTGTGAGATGCATCTGTGGCTATGGTTCATTCATCTTCATTCCATATGGTGTTGGTGAGATGCATCCATGCTTTTGGGTGTGGCTATGGTTTATTCATCTTCATGCTATATTGTGCTGTGCTGCATGTGTTTTCAAGATATGTGATCGTTTATCCATTTATTTCACCATTTACTGATGAAATTGGAGTTCGTGTTAGTCCATTTTGCTAAAGGAATACCTGAGACTGGGTAACTTATAAAGAAAAAGTTTATTTGGCTCACAGTTCTGCAGATTGTACAAGAAACATGGCACCTGTCTCTGCTTCTGGTGAAGCCTCGGGAAGCTTCCATTCAAAAAGGAAGGCAAAACGGAGCGAGCATGTCACACAGTGAGAGCAAGAGAGTGACCAAAAGAGGTGCCATGCTTTTAGACAACCAGCTCTCTTGTGAACTAATAGAGCGAGAACTCACTCTTTAGCACGGGGATGGCCCCAAGCCATTCATGAGGGATTCATTCCCATGACCCAAATACCTCCCTCCAGGCCTCACCTCCAACACTGGGGAACAAATTTCACCATGAGATTTGGAGAGGACAAACATCCAGACTATATCAGAGTTGTTCCCAGTTTGGGCTGCTATGAACAATGTGCTGCATATTTTTGTGCTGGTCCAAGCATGCGTGAGTTTCTCTAGAGTGAGTGGGAGTGGATTTGCAAGATCATAAGGTGTATGAATCTTCAGCTCTTCTAAGTTATTGCCAACTTATTTTTCAAAGTGCCGGTCCCAGCTTAGATTCTCACCAGCAATATGCCAGTCCCCATGTCCCCTTTCCCGACTAGCAGAGCTGTACTTAGAGAGATGTGGGCCCCAAGGCAGCACAGGCCGTAGGTGGTTATCCAGAAGGAATTATGCACTCAGCATCCTTCACGGGCACCTTGGATGTTGTCACAGAAGCTCTGCAATTGAATTTCAGTGATGCTCAGCAAAGAACACAGAATGGGGCCTAGGGCAGCTGCCCCAGAGTCCCTCCCAAGGGGCAGGTGCTCAGCAGCACTTGATATTGCCAGACTTTAAAATTTTTTGCTAAGCTTGGCAGTGGTTTCTCATGACTTTATTTGCATTTCTCTGGTTACTAAGAAGATTGAGTACTTTTCACATGTTTATTAGTCATATGAATTTCTTCTGTTGAAATGCCCATCCAAGCCTTTGCCTATTTCTTCTGATTTTTCTTATTGATTTGTGAGAATCCTTTATATGTTCTGGATGCCAGTTCCTGGCAGTTATATGTATCATATATTTTATGTATTTTCATATATTTTATATCATGTATTTTCCTGTTGTGATTTGCTATGGATATGCTCATGTAACTTAGGGTTAGAGTTAGGGCTGGGGTTAGGGTTAGGGTTTATAAACTTTAAAAAAATTATAATAAACCCTTTTTGATTTAAATGTAATATTAAAAGTCTTTTGTTGGTGGAATGTACTTTAAAATAACTCTTAAGATCTACAGAAAATACCATATTGCTTGTAATTATGCATTTAGATGGCAGAACAATTTAATATATTCATAATTCCATTATTTTAGGTAGGTGGTGGCTTTTTAAAAGGACCTAGGATTTTTTTGTCAGCTTTATGTTGCTATCTTCTCCATATGTTCTAACACTTATTTTATACTGCATTCTTCTACTTCTTTTCTTTCTTTTGTTTTAGAGATGGGAGTCTCACTATATTGCCCAGGTTGGTCTTGAACTCCTGGGCTCAAGCGATCCTTCTGCCCCTCAAAGTGCTGGGATTACAGGCATGAGCCACCTTGTCTAGCCTTATTTTTCTATAGAGCACTGCAAGCTCCTAAGTATTAACCAAAGTGGAGTACAAAATAAAACATTCAATAGAGGAATCAGTCTTCATGACCAGAAGAAACATCACTGGACAGGTTGACTGCTAGCTATAAATGAACTTTTTCTTACTTGCTTGAAGGCTTGGAAAGAGATGTATAATACATTTCTTTAATATTTAAAATCATTTTATTAAAAAGTACATACTTGACTGGGCACAGTGGCTCATGCCTACAATCCCAGCACTTTGGGAGACCAAGGTGGGCAGATCAGCTGAAGTCAGGAGTTCAAGACCAACCTGGCCAACATGGCAAAACCCTGTCTCTCCTGAAAAAAAGAAAGAGAAGAGAAGAGAAAAGAAAAGAGTACATACTCCTTGACAAATACAATCAGAATAGAAAAGAACAAGAGAAAGCAGAAGTCACTCCAAATTCTACCAGCCAGGGATAATCACTGCTGTTTTACTCAGCAGGCTTCCAGTCATCTTTCTATGCTATTCACATACAGATACTCTTGCACCCTAAAAAGGGGACTGTCCACTCCACGTCACCTTTCCTTAGGGCAGGTGCTATCCAGCTGTTGTGCACCAGGCAGCAGGAACCTGCAAGGAGATTTGCAGTGGCACCACCAGCTGCTACTCCCTTCCCCACTTTTTTTTTTTTTTATTTCAAGAGAAAGGTGGAAACAGAAGAGAGGACAGAAAGGAAGAATATGATTATTAATATTTCTGCTTTGCCAAATTACTGAGAAAAGGCTTTCCCAAGAGAAAGTCAGAGTTAAAGTGCTCAATCCCAGTCCCAGAAGGGTGGTGCCTCAGGGGGACCATACTAAGGAGTCAGTATTGCCCAGAGCGTGTTCCATGCAGTGTCAGAGGCTACTTGAACAAGTGTTCTGAGATCAAGAAAGTGTGGGAAGTGCTGGGGTGAACAAAGGCAGGCTTTTCCCCTGAAGTCCTCCCAGGGCACCTGCTGCATCTCCTGGGTGGGGGAGGAGTGGAGGGAGGGGCTCCCTGTCCTTTCAGTGAGGGATCCTTTTTCACTAACAGTCACCCAGGTCCAGTTGTCTGCAAATTTTGGGAACTGCTTGTTTGATTCTAGTATATTGTACTTTAAAGATAGTATATGTGGCCGGGCGCGGTGGCTCAAGCCTGTAATCCCAGCATTTTGGGAGGCCGAGACGGGCGGATCACAAGGTCAGGAGATCGAGACCATCCTGGCTAACACGGCGAAACCCCGTCTCTACTAAAAACACAAAAAATTAGCCGGGCGCGGGCGAGGTGGCCGGCGCCTGTGGTCCCAGCTACTCGGGAGGCTGAGGCAGGAGAATGGCGGGAACCCGGGAGGCGGAGCTTGCAGTGAGCTGAGATCTGGCCACTGCACTCCAGCCTGGGCGACAGAGCGAGACTCCGCCTCAAAAAAAAAAAAAAAAAAATAGTATATGTAAGTAATTTTTATAAAGAACACCTGTTTTAAAGAAAATTTGGTAAATAGTTAAAAGATATGGTAAGCAAAATTAAAATCACTCAAAATTGCACCATTGGAAATAACCAGCATTTGGTGTATTTTGGTGTATTTTCTTCCAGACCATTGTTTATAGGTGTGTGTCTGTGTATCTATAAAATATGTCTGCATTTTAAAATGGGGATTATAATGTGAGTGTATGCCTGTGTGTGTATGTATATGTATGTAAGGGATTATAGCATATATAGAGTTTTGGGGGTTTTTTTGGTCTTGAATAAAGAACATTTTATTATTAGAGAAAAATATTAGTCCTCGGCTGGGTGCAGTGGCTCACGCTTGTAATCCCAGCACTTTGGGAGGCCAAGGCTGGTGGATCACTTGAGGTCAAGAGTTTGAGACTAGCCTGGCCAGCATGGTGAAACCCCGTCTCTA